GTTAGATTGTTTGCCGGAAGTTTGGCTTTAAATCAGCTAGCTTTTCATTGCAATGACTTACATTCTCCTTGTTAATGCCACACACCCTGACTCTTAACACATTTTTTCTTTTGTCTAGACATGAGCAGGAAGATCTAGAATTAAAGCACAATTCCACTTTAAAACAGTTAATGAGGGAGTTTAATACACAGATGGCACAGAAAGAACGCGAACTTGAAACTGGTGTGCAGGAGACCATAAGTAAGCACATTTTATATATTGTTTTTTCATAAACTTTACGGGTTTGTGGTTATTACATATTTTTTTCACAAAAGTTGATTGACCATGCTGCTAGGTCTGACTCCTAGGTAACCCACAAATCAGTCACTTGCATTACAGGGTTATGTTGTCTGCTACCAAACATCAGATTAATATTGACTTGCACTGGACATCTTTTTAGGGCCGGACATGGTAAGATATTGAATGAGAGAAAAAACATTTCCAGAGAATCAAGAAAATCACTTCATGTATGATACCTTGTCAAGCAGTTCATGCTGAAGGCTTGTTTTGACAGTGAAGCCCCCAGTCTGCATGTCTTCACTTTGCCAGATGGCACTGTGATTGGTTCTTGATCGTCAGTGGGCACCCGATCTGTCAGTGACAACTGGGATTAAGAGCCAGCAATCATGCAAAATGTCAGCTGCTGGCTCTTAAGGTGGAGATGTTTATTAAAGTATTACCAACAGGAGACATCATTTTAGGGGATATTAATAGGTTGTGGGTGGGAGGGGGTTAATGCAGTCATTTGAAAACGATCTTACATTCTTAACACATTTATCCAAGATAGCAGAGCAATTGGGTTAGTGTCAGAAAAATCTCACCAGCTAGGCCAACAATATATGAATAAACCTAGCTTATTATTGACGTTGGTCGTTCATTTTTTAGCAACCCAGCTAACCAACCCAACTGTTACCTAGTAGTAATACAACAGGCTGCTAAATAATTCTTCATCCATTAGGGTGTCTGTTGTTCTCAGAGATATCCTGGTCTTGGCCCAGTCTTGAGGTTTCCATAATCTTTGCAGCAATTGTGTGTCATTACATTATGCACTGTTGGACCAAAACTATCTGCAGTTTGGCAGATTTCATTTATTTGCAATTAGTAATGTTTTCCTTTACTTTGTCATATAACTAACAAGTTTAAATTTGTAAGGGCTAAATTTACTGGCTGAATAACAAAATTCTCTTTTGTGGTAAGGCAAAGCACAGGAGGTTGAGGCTGAAATAATGCAATCTCATCAGATAGAAACAACACAGCTTCATAAAAAGATTTTAGAGAAAGAAGATGACTTAAAGAGAACGGTTAAGAAGTATGAAGACATCTTGGAGGTAAGCTGTAAAGGTCAAATGCATTATTTTTATAAGAACTAAGTAATGGAACTGTTTAGTTTATATGTGCATTCATTTTCGTTTTCATAAATACAGTACCTGAAACTATAGGAAATAATTTATTGCTATTAAATGAGATTGAGCGTTCGGCTGTAATAAATGCTAAATGCGTAGTATAGAATGCCTCATTATTCTAAAGCTATGCAGTGTGATCTATAAAGATAAGTGTAATCCCCATTACATGGGCATCACAAGACTAGACCAGCTTCATCTCTGAACTGCAGATAATGGTCATACATAGGTGAAGGGTATATTTTATTATTGTACAGCTATTTCATGCGGTGTTGAGATCATATAAAACCATCCAGAATCATAATAGTGTGCAAGAATTTGGTTAAATCATATTGCGTTATCATGAGAATTCAGCAACATATTAGTGGGAAATTCTTTGAGGTGTGGACAAAGTCTGTATCATTTTCCGTGGGGACCCAACTGTGTTGTAAAGTTCTCACTAAACCTTTATTCTATGGCACTATTGCTGCTGCTAGTTTAGAGCATACCCAGCAGTGCATATAGACAAGGGACGTGCAGTCAGGGGAGGGAAGTGAGGCAGAGCCTCACCTAGTATTATGGAGTAAAAAGCTGCTCTCTCTCATTTTCAAATCTTACCTGAGCAAACTAAAAGAAGATGCTAATTGGTTGCCATGGGCGACTGCTACAGATTCTGTTTGCTTCAGTTTTACTAAATTCCCCCCGTTGTCTATTTATATTGAAGGTGACAGCTTTTTCTCCATTCAGACCAGCTTCTAACAGGTTACACAGCAGGGAAAGCCTCCATGCTGTGTAACCTGTCATGGATGGATCGCTGCCTGTTAATTACAAGCGTCACTGCATGCGGCTTTTGACAGCTAAGGTAGGTTACACAGCAGCGGGCTTCCCCACTGCTTGTGCAACCTAACATAGTGAGGACAGAGCTGCCACAGCCACTACTTTGTGTTAGTCTTGAGCTCTCTGGATGGTTTAGACCAATAGCAAAGCGCAATTGGTCCAAGCTGTCCATTAAAAAAAAAAAAAAGGACATCGATCTCGATGCCTCACCAGTGAGGAGCAAGTGAGGGACGGAGGCTCCTCCCTTCTCTCTCCACACATAGCCCGGTGGCCGGGTTCAGGGAAGGTGGCGTTGACAGGCTGCAGGCCGGGCTCGGGCAGGCAGGGGAGATGCCTCACCTAGCACAGCCCCTACTGCACGTCACTTATATAGACTGAATTTGCAGCAAAACAACGGAAAAAACATTTTACAGCGAGTAAAAAAACCTTACATGTTCTACATGATTTATCTGTATAACCATTATTTGCACGTTTGTGACACTTGTAAACAACTCGCAGATCTTTAAATAATTTCTGTTAATTTCCATAATTCAATTGTATGCTACTAAAGTATGAATTGCAATATGTACCTTTCAGGAAATAAAAAGAATGTTTACTAGTCACATAAAACTCTACTCCATCTATTGGAATAGTTTACTTCTAATTGCGCAAGAGGTACCTGTGATGTGCATGGTGTGACATTTTCATTCTAATTTCCTACAACACTGATCATTTTCTTATGGTTTTATTTCTTTCCTCATGTACTTTCCTGTTAAAGTACGTTGATATTGTTTGAAGTGATGATTTGGTGGGGAAATCTTGCTACTCAATCTTCAAATAATATATGAAATTAGGAGGAGTTTCTGACAAGCAGACTCCACTTATAAGACAAATATTACTGTTGGGTGCACTTTAGCAGACTCGGTCTCCAGGATCAGGATCTCATGTTATTAGCTGGTGGTACGAAGACTTTCAGAAGTCTAGCTGTTGAAGGCCTCCCGTTTGTTCTATTCACACATATGGTCCATGCTGATCACTACCACTAATTTGCAGCTCTGACTGGGGGGAAAAGTGCTGTTCCATATTCCCAGTGCAGATATGCCAGGATTGAAGAACGTGGTAAAGGTAGTGCAGGTGATCTTTGGAATGGGACTGTGTAGTGAAACATTCAACATTTTATTCATGAATCTTCAAAGAAAGCTTGGTTACGGTATACCTTTTTTTTTTTTTTTTGGGGCACAGGCATCTAGTGGCATTTGTTCTCTCTGCTGTTAATTATTTATGCCGCTGATTTTGGGGCGGCATAAATAATTAACATATTCTGTCCAAATCCCTTGTGTCTAGCTGTGTGATACCCATCTCTAGTGTATGCTTTCCCTGTTGTCACCTAAAGCTAGCCATACACTGCTTAGATTTTCAACAGAACGTTTGTACGAAAGACCTTTCTTTCAACTTTCTATTAGTTGATGGGATTAATTCAACAATCAATTTCTACCATAGTATTAAAAAAAAAACTCGAAGAAGCGGGATGGAAATTTTTTCTCAAAGAAACTAAATTCTAACAGTGAATGTGGTTTGCGGTTTGGAAACTCCATTCATTCCAAAAACGAATGTTAGAATCAAACGAAATTTCGAGCGGCTTTTGTCGATTTGTGTCTGGCATTATCGGGTGGTAAATAAAGATCTTTCATATAAAAGTCTGTCCTGAAATCTACTAGGTATGGTGTATGGTCAGCTTTAAACACCCCAGCCCGTGTAAGGATCTACTTTTAATGTTGTGTATCAAAGGATTAGTGCTTGATAGCCGCTACTTTGTTCTATTAGAGAAGGGCAGTACCTGTCCTCCTTACATTCTGAGCATCAACGGATGTGGAAAGAAAGGTAGACTGGTATAGTGGTTATGGGGTGAGGCCTTCTTGTCTGACTGTACTTCAGTAAGGTGGTACATTAACGAATAGCCATCGCTTGAGGCAATAAATCTTACTCATACAGAAATCCCTGAAGATAGTGCTAGGTCTTACTTTCGGGGTAGGTCTTACTTTCGGGGGAAACACGGTATATATATATTTTTTTTTATTGCACCTTTAGATTTCAAATATCTATTACTCTTGCTTTGGTTTTGTGTTCTGAATTAATTTAACATTGTTTTCTGTTTGTTCAAAATTTCTCTTGATATAAATATCTTTGTTAGTTTCTATAAAACTCCTACCCACAGTACCCTGCAAAATAAGAGTCATTTTACTATTTTTTTATCTGGCAGCCTGTCTCCTACTTCTCCTCCTTTCCAAAGATTCAGCCTCCAGAAGGCTGTTGGACACTAACAGAAGTTTTGGATGTCTATGACCCCCAACATGCACTATGCCTCCTGTCTCCAGCCCCTACATCACTACAGGAATCAGCAGTGACATAGAAGGTTGGAGAAAGGAACTACAGTGCACAGCACAGCTGATGCTCCCAGAGGCTGCATTGCTGGAACACAGGGGAGGTACAATCTTGAACCTAAATGTTCCCTGCACCTCTCCCATGCAAAGTGCATGGGAGAGGTGCAGGGAACATTTAGGTTCAAGATTGTTTTTTTGAGACAGTTTCTTTAAAGTATTTCCATTTTCTAACAAATGCTTACTCAATGTACTTGTATACTGCAGATTATGCGGTATACTCATAATCCATGTGACACTTTAATCTTTTAGGCAAGAGAAGAAGAAATGGCAGGAAAAGTGACAGAACTACAGGAAAAGTTAGAGCAATTACAGGAAGAGTTATCAAAGAGGCAGGAGGAGGAGGCGGCTACTCAGGATGCAGAGGTGAACAGCAATATATGTCCATTATCAAAAATGTGATGTACCGCCATGGACAAGTGGCCTACAGCTTTTATAGATGAGGATTAGGAAAAAGCCTTCATGTTAAAGAACAATAATAGTCCTCTTGCACCTTTTGGAAAAATTTCAATAAATGCACCTCGCTATTAAAATAAAAAATGTGCATTAATTAAATTTTTGCATTTAAGCCCGCAGAACATTGCAACTGCCAACAGTGTGTCATGGGTGCAAATGCTCAGACTCCTCCATTGTTTACATCCCAGCCCCAGGTCTGTACAAAGTTATGTACCTTCTGTTTTGGGGCTGGAGGAAGTATTGATTAGAATTCAACTTTAATGATGTCACCACACTTGTGCTCCATTGTGATCTGCGAGTACCTCTGCTTTGGTGGCAGATAGGACTTGTAGTCTTTCCATTTAAATCTCCCTGTGTATGGATCTGTAAGTGGATGACATGGCTGTCCAGATGGAGTAATTTACAGCTGCGCTAAATTAAGAAAGACAGGGCGCTCCAAGAAGAAGTGCCCAGGGAGGGGGTGGGGGGGTGTTCACATTTGAAAGTTGGAGGGTTGGGATGAAACATGAATGGTAAGGTGGAGAGCATGAACAGCTGAATCCCCAAATTATATTAGAATCATGTTCAGATGAATACATTGGATAGATAGGTAGAATATGATTGATTAATTGTATAGATTGATTACATTGATACACAGACTAATGTATACATTTATGTTAGATGGATGGTACTAGAGGCTTTGGATTTTTGGGGTTTTTTTTGGCCTATTTGACATTTTGGTTTATATAGCAGATTTGTAAGATATTTATTTAGTCTGAAAAAACTAAACAGGCGCACAAATGACTACATGTTTTAATTCTAAGCTATTGTATATTTATTTTATGTTTTTATTTTAGGAGCCGACTTTCCAGGAACTTCAGGTAATATCCTGTTCTAAATAATTGTTTTTTAATGGCCCATTCCCACCTTTTTTTTCCATATGTAAAACCCCACAGTAGGGACAGCAATGCCAATAATACTGCAACATGCATGCTGTAACACATATTGACTTAAGGTGCCCATACACCTTACGATTATCGTACGACAATCGTATGCGATCGACTTTACGTACGATAATCGTATGTGTGCATAGCAGTGCCCGACCGATAGTACTGTACAATCGTACGACTTTTGACGGTCAAGCATGTTTGAAAACTTTGCTAGATCGTACGATGTTCGCATGGTTGGTGGCGTTTCCGTCCGTCAAAAGTCGTACGATTAACACTGTGCATGTGCAAACGAAAACAATTGCGGTCCAGGTGTTTTTTTTAACTACCGCTAATTGGACCTTGCGATAATTGGGGCAAGATGGGGCCGTCGTACGAAAATCGTACGACGGTTTGATCATTGGACGAAAAGTTTCGTCCGATTAATCGTAAGGTGTATGGGCACCTTTAGAGTATAGAGTAGTGATATATCTGTTGCAACACATTTCAATCTGGTTGTGCCATCTCTGTATTTCTCATTAGATTTACCAATACCTATGTAGCATGAGGGCCCAACTAAAACTATTCATTCAATGTTTATGCAAGTTGCAAGGTCCTTGCACTACAGGTGAAACTCGAATAATTAGAATATCGTGCAAAAGTAATTGCAGTAAGTGCTGCAAAAGGGGCCCAAACCAAGTACTGAGTACATATGCATGCTTGTACTTTTCAGAGGTCCGATATTGTTCTATGTACAATCCTTGTTTTATTGATTGCATGTAATAATCTACTTTTTTGAGATTGTGGATTTGGGGTTCTTGGGGTTTTCATGAGCTGTAAGCCATAATCATCCCAATTATGACAAATCACGGCTTGAATTATCTTGCTTTGCATGTAATGAGTCTATCTCATATATTAGTTTCACCTTTTAAGTTGCATTAGTGAAATAAATGAACTTTGCACGATATTCTAATTATTCGAGTTTCACCTGTATATAGTTGCTGTTAGTTTTGATTATGACAATTATATTGTAACATCTGTGGCCAGCCTTATTTAAAGTGCACCTGTGCCAAGACTATGGACATTAAACTAAACTATTTAATTATTTTTTTTAAACCCTAAAAGAGGTTTAAAACAAGCCACCCAAGACCTCTGCATCTGCTTGTAATGTGAAGCAATTTATTTTACATCAAAATAGAATGAGTTTAATAATGTAAGTTGACTCTGTATATTACGTGTACGTTTATGTCCAGTTCGGTCAGCCTTTCTCCTGAAGAACAATATCCTAATTTTTAAACAATTTCGGCAGAATAAAATGTAATATACTTTATTCTCCTTTAGTTTAAACACATGACTGGAACAAGTAAATTTTTTTTTTTTGTATTTCTTATTTTACTACATTCAACATAAAATGACACAAAAATCAAGTTTAGGCCTTGTGCACACGGGCAAGCACACCCGCACAGAGACTTGCTGCTGGGAGGGACAGGTGCTGGGTCTAACTGCGTGAAGCCCACCTGTGCCTGGGCTTCACGCATTCAACATAAAATCACACAAAAATCAAGTTTAGGCCTTGTGCACACGGGCAAGCACACCCGCACAGAGACTTGCTGCTGGGAGGGACAGGTGCTGGGTCTAACTGCGTGAAGCCCACCTGTGCCTCCCTATGGGAGCACACGGCTGCGCACTTACCCGAACTTGAACTCTCCCTATGGGAGGATACAGCTGCATGCTGCTATTCGCCGACATGAACCTGCCCATCTGTGCTGGTCCGGGTTTCAGCACTTGGATGCAGACAGTTTGCTTCCAAGTTCAGGCACCCTTACCTGCATGGATGTGCAGGTTCGGGTGGGCGTATTACTGCATCAGGCCATAAGGCGGTACAGGCGGCTGCACACAATTACATGCAACACCTCTTGGAAGCAGGTCTCTGCACGGGTGTGCATGCTGTACAGATGTGCACGCCCCTGTAAATAAGCCCTTTAAAATTGTTTTTGTGTGATTTTAGTTATGTTGAATGTAGTAAAAAAAATACAAAAAAAATATTACTTGTTCCAGTCATGTGTTAAAACTAAACTCATGATTGGAACGAGTAATATAAGCCCTTGTGAATGAGCCCTTAATGTGGGACAATAAGGGGTATATTTATAAAGAGATGGGAATGTGGGACAATAAGGGGTATATTTATAAAGAGAAGGGAATGGAACGTTAACCAAACATTCACTGTGGGTGAATCGTCCTGGTGTATTTGTTTTAGGTGATGGTGATTAATTTACAGCCACTGAATGTTTGGTGGAAGTCACATTCACTGCTTTATAAATATACCGCTATATGAGGCAAAGTATTGCTTCTATAACATGGATTTTAGCCTCTGTTCTCATAACACTCTTTATAATGCCACAGCACCACCCACTGGCTTATTTTTGCATAACAATTAATATACTAAAGCTTAGTATACAATATAACTTTTGTTTTAAAGACACGTAAGCTCTTAAGTAAACCTCCTCTCCAGATTTTGTAAAGAAAACATAGAAAACCGGCGCACCGATCTAAGTGCAGTATAAAGTGACTATTTAATAAGGGTAAAAGTAATGCACTTACAGGATATTAAAAAACATCTCGCCTGTCACGCATCAGATGAAAGTCCCATCTCAGCTGCTGGTCCGAGATTGCTATCAGGATAGGGCGAAAGCAGAGTCCAGTTCAGTCCAGAAAGATCCCAGGACGCCTGTGCTGGAAGACACAGGTCTGATCCAGTGGCTGAGCACTGCTGTGGCTGGTTCTCCTCAAAGCAGGGTCACAGCTGCTGAGTACTTCCGGGTCGTCAGGTGTCAGGTTTTTTTGTAGTATAGAATAATATAAATGTTTACTTCCGTTGAGAATAAATCACTTTACACACATTGACCCCAGGCCAGCATAGGTCTGGCCATAGAGAAATATGGCATCTACATTAGACATATGCACCAGCAAAAAATGTGTTTAGTTTTGATTCGGATTTTGCGTTATTTCGTTTTTCGGATTCGGGTCCGCAATTGAATTTGTTGCGGGATTCGGACGAAATTCGTTAGCAGCAGTCGTTTTTCGGCTTCGGGTCCGCAATTGAATTAGTTTCGGGACAAATTAGTTTTCGGACGAAATTCGTTAGTGGTAGTCCGGTTGAAATTTCGTTTATTGGACGAAATTTCGTTAGCAGCACAGTGACATTAGAATTTTTTTTTTACAGTCTGCAGAAGATGAAAAAAAAAAAAAAGCGTGAGGTTCCCCCCCCCACGAGCTCCCCCCCTCCCTGCGCCTTACCAGGCCACGTGCCCTCGGCATTGGGAGGGTGTCCCCGTGCCGATGGGGACAAGGGCCTAGTCAAAAATTGAGTCTTTGGGTTTTTTTTTTTCAATTAAAGGATTTTATTTAAAAGTCTGGACTTTCTACTAACTATTTTGATTTAACCCTTTAGTGAATGGGTAGGGGTACAAGTACCCCTTACTTATTCACAAGGGGGGAGGGCGGCATCTTCGTGCCCCCTTATTTAAAGGGGTACCCCGATGCAAATAAGCCCCCTTGCCCGCAGACCCCCACAACCACCAGGTCAGGGTTGTGAGGAAGAGGCCCTTGCCCCCATCGGCACGGGGACACCCTCCCAATGCGCTCGATCGTCCCCCCCCTTTCCTGCCCTGCCGGGCCAGTGCTCGGATCAAGGGTCTGGTAGGACTGTTAGGGGGGACCGCACGTTTTTCCCCCCATTTTTTGGGGCTGGGTTTCCCCCTTAAAATTCCTAAAGGGTCTGGCAGGGATTTTGGGGGGAACACCACGCTTTTTTTTTTTCTTTCATCTTCTGCAGACTGTAAAACAAAAATTTGTTTCTAATGTCGCTTGCTGCTAACGAAATTTCGCCCGCACTACAGCTAACGCATTTCGGGAATTCGTTTTAGCTGTAATTCGGAAATTCTGATGCATCCGAATTCCGGAAATTTCGTCCGAATTTCGATTCGTTTGTATTCGTTTTAGCTGTAATTTGGAATTTCCGAAAATTCGTCCGAATTTCGATTCGGAACGAAATTAATCACACTTGTCTAATCTACATCGTGTTTGGGGTGAGCACACAATGGCTATGGCCGGGTATGTCATGTTATGAGGTTCACTTAATGAGGTCAATTATGTTATCTACTATCTGTTAAGGATCTTATTTCATTTACTCATAGACCATATATATATAAAAATGGCATTATATGGAAGCTGAACTTCAGATGAAAACAAAAATGACCCTTGCACTTGGGCTTTCCTCGCACTGCTAGGGTTAAACATAAACAAAAATTTTACTTGCCTGATCCCTCACTCCCGCCGGCATTAAGCACTCTCCCCTGGCATCCTCACTGTCACTGCCAGATTGCTGGCCCTGCAGTGTATGCAATGATGTCAGAGTGCCTGCGACTGGTAGAGTGACAAAGAAGCTGATATGGGGGACCAGATATGCAGCTGTCATGAAGCTTGTGGCAGCTGCTTTTATGTTAAGCAGATTGGGAGAAACCTCGACACACCTCCTCGCCATCATTGGCCACAGATCACACACCTTGCCCAGTTATGCTACAAACTTTTATTGCATAAAAAGTAGGGCTGCAACAACTAATCGACATAATCGATTTTTAAAATAATCGTTAGCTGCAGCTCTAATAAAAAGATGATGGAATGAATGAAAGTTATGCATGTTAATATATGATGTAATGGCTGCAGACACTTGTCTCTTTAGAAGATACATACAGTAATCTGAATATTAAAGTCTGTTGATAAGACTCTTTGTTTTTGTCTTTCTTTAGGCTCAGCTGGCAAAGAAAACCACACTGCTAAATGAAGCCAAACTGCACATGCAGGAGCTTAATGAAAAGGTGCAGAGCGCTTTAGTACAAAATATTAACCCCCTTCATGACTAAGCGTTTTTCAGTTTCTACTCGTTAATGACTGAGCACTTTTTACATTTTTTGCTGTGCGATTCTTCCACGGCAGTAATATATTTTCTTATAAGTTTATCCACACAGATTGTACATTGGTTTTTAAAGGACAGATAGGGCTATATAGTTATATCACATATGTGTGCCTAACACCTCGCTTCAGGACAACAAAAAAATGGAAAATGAGGAAAATGTTTTAAAGAAAACTCTCTTTTTTCCCAGTTTTGATTATTCATTTTTAGAAAAATAGCAGAGCTAAAAAAAAATGCATTAAAATAAATTCATTTATTTGTCCTTTATTTTGAAACGCCTCACATATCTAGGATTTTAGAATTTTTCTGTACTTCACAGCCTAAAACGAAAAGCTAAGATTTAATTTTTTTTTCTCTAAAAGCTAAATGTGGTCACCTGGCATACAATGTCACACTTGGTGACAGCGACATACTTTGAAAATCGTCCTAATCGGGGTAAAATAAAAAAAAAATAACTCCTTGGGGTGAAAAACAACAATGCAGATCAGCTGCAGATTTTCATTGTAAGAGGTTATTTTTTATAATAGTATAACAATATATAATTTTTATTGTTTATATGTATTTTTTAAAATTTACACTTTTTTTTTTACACTTCTTCTTTTTTTAACTTTTTTAATTATATCAAGCAGTCATTGTGAATGGATTTCACTATGATTGCTTGATAATTTAATTTTTGGTTGTTATTAGGCTGCTCCAAGCTTAGAAACAGCCAATAATAACCTTAGTGTCACTGATCCTGACATGCTAATCTTAATAGTAATAAGAAGTGAGGTCCTCACCGCACTCCTATCACTGTTAGACACCCAATCACTGAAAGCGATCCGGTGTCTGTAAAAGCTGAATTCTTTCATTAATGCATGCCTCTATACTGAGGCATCCATTAATGAACAGTAACCCCTGATCTCAGTTGTTATTCCAGAGCTCCGAATAGCTGCTCACGTACAGTGTATGTAAGGAGGTAAGGAGTCATCTGGGCACTTAGTGACAGGGACGTACAGTGTACATCTCCTGTCACTAAGGGGTTAATATTTCCAGCTATACTATAATTGATTTGTTTGCTGGACTCCCATTCTTGCCTGATTATAAGATTCTAACTGCTAAACCGTCCTGTGTCTTTGTTGCATTTTTGGTTTCTGGACTGCAGACAGGCCAGTTAAGCACCCGGACTCTTCTACTACAAAGCTTTGCTGTTGTCATAGATGAGGTATACGGTTTAGCATTGTCGTGATGAAATATTCAAGGCCTTCGCTGAAAAGGAGGTCGTCTGGGTGGGAGCATATGCTGCTCTAAAACCTGGATATATCTTTTAGCATTGATGGTGCCTTTCCAGATGTGCAAGCTGCCCATTCCATACGCACTAATGCACCCCCATACCATCAGAGATGCAGGCTTTTGAACTAAGCACTGATAAAAAACTAGAAGGTCCCTCTCCTCTTTAGTCTGGAGGACACAGCACCCATGGTTGCCAAAAAGAATGTAAAATCTCCATTTGTCTGACAGAGAACAGTTTTCTACTTTGAGACTGAGCTTTGGGCCAGAAAAGACGATGGCATTTCTGGGTCGTATTCGGATATGACTTCTTCTTTGCATGATAGAGCTTTAACTTGCATTTTTGGATGGCATGGCGAAATGTGATTTTTGGAAGTATTCCTGATCCCATGCAGTGATGTCCATCACGGAATCATGCCTGTTTTTAATTCAGTACCGTCTGAGGGCCCGAAGATCACGAGCAGCCAATATTGCGTTTCAGCCTTGTCACTTGCACACAGAGATTTCTCCAGATTCTTGGAATCTTTTTTGATATTATGTACTGTAGATGCTTTAAAGTCTCTGCAATTCTACCTGGAGGAGCATTTTTCAGAAATTGTTTAACAATTTTTGGATGCAGCTTTTCACAGATTGGTGATCCTCTGCCCATCTTTACTTCTGAGACATTTTGGGTATAAAAAGAGCATCTTAGAGAGTCAATCATGTTACTGACCTGTTGCCAAATAACCTAATTAGTTGCAAAATGTTCTCCCTTGTTAGTACCACTTACTTTGCCAGCTTTTTGTTGCCCTGTCCCAACTTTTTTGAGATGTGTTGCTGCCATCAATTTCAAAATGACCTTATTTTTTTCTTAAAATGGTACGTTTTCTCAGTTTAAACATTTCATACATTTTCTATTGTGAATAAAAATATGGGTTTGAGATTTGCAAATCATTGCATTCTGTTTTTATGTAAATTTTACACAGCGTCCCACCTTTTTTGGAATTGTGGTTGTGTGTGTATATGTAGATATATTATTATTATTTTCATTATTTTTTGCCCTGGTATTCAGTCTTTCTTAATGTGATTTCTTTGCTTTGCAGGTTATTGTTTTGGATGACCAGTTAAAAAACTACTCACGTGGTGTTTTTGTTACTCCTCTTGGCACTCCTTATAAAGGTAAAAAAAAACATGCAGTGCATGTTAATCTCCATCTCGTAACCCTCTCTGTTGCCTTCTTAAAAATGTTTTAAAGATAACCTCCAAAAGAAGGCCTTTACGTAACCTTTCCACAGCTGACTGTTCTGGAATGTTTGATCACTAAAAAAGCTAAGCCACCAAAACCATCATGTTAATCTTACTTCTGGGTGTGTCGGATGCCTGCATTTACTTATGGGCTATGGTTTCATCTTAATGGCTTCTACATCACTACTGTCTCTTGTAGTGGCATAGAATTTTCCAGATGGAATACATCCCTGCTTTCTGTCATAATGACGTAGGGGATTGGTGGATGAAACCAAAGCTCACAGCATAGGAAGCTGGAATCAGATGCACTTGGAAGTGTGCAGCTTTTCTTTTCTAAGGGTTGAATATTCCAGGAATATAAACTCTCTCTTGTTTTGCAATTTGTAAATTTTTTAATAGGCAGTAGAGTCACTTTAAGCTTTGTAATGATGGCCAAATGCGAACTGTTTTTTGGATCAATTTGGAACACTTTTGGGATCATTCACAGTTCACTGAAAGATTAATTTGACATACAGTTGATCTTCTCAGGCTGCTTCAAGCTGCTTTTGCATCCATGATGCAAACAAATAAACTACTGTTGCTTTTGCATTCCCATTGATTTGTATAGGGAGAGAAGCACTTGATGCAATCGAACACCTGTTGACACAGGCCCTTCAGGTGTCATGTTTTTTGAAGCAGTAGGTCTTGTATGCTGCATGCAGGAGCATGGCTGACACTATGCACCTTGGTTGTGTTCGGTCCAGATCTGCAATGCAATCTAAATGTTTGCTAAACCCAGGTGTGTATTGATCTGTATTGTCTAGGATACTCTTACGGATCTGGCATTGAAATTAGAGGGAAAGACTATATAAAAGGGAAACTTAGAATTTTTTTTTTGTTGTCAGTTGTGTTTAAATAGTTTTTTTAAAGTTTTAGATATGTATTAACTGTTTTTCATCATTTAAAATATGTGGACATAAAATCTTTGTTTTTGAATTAAACATTTATTACAGGATGTGTATATTATATCTGTTTGAAAATAATGATAGGCTTTCTAATAAGAAATTGGCACTATTATAGACTTTCTTAATTTACCAGTAAAAATGTGTTTAAACCCTAAAAATGAACTTCTCTTACTTGCTCCCTTCTAGTCACTTAAATATATTCCACTGAAAACATGTTTTCGTCTGTTTTGATAAGTGCAAATAACATTTGTTGTTCCTGTCAGAATTCTAGTGCTGTCCTATGTACTCTCGGGGGTGTGGACATTTTTGACAAAACTCCTTGTCCAAGGGCTAAAGCAGGGGTCAAATCTACTTGTCCTTCATGACAATCTACTTGTCCCAATACAAAAAAAAAAGTTTTAAAAGTTTAAAACTAGGGAGGCACCAATACCAGTTTTTGGGTATCGAGTACGAGTACCAATATTTTGCTTCCAGTACTTGCTGAGTATCGGTGCTTCCGTTGGCATGGAGCAGGCTTCCCGGGCAATCAGGAAGCCAGGCAGCGGGTAATGAGATGCTACCCGGCTTCCTGACTGCCAGGGAAGCCGACTCCATGTTGTTTGGCCGGCTTGATTGTGAATGACTGGGAAGCCGGTTTCCCGGCCAATCATCATCAAGCCAGCTTGCTAGCCAATCGGCAAACCTGGCGGAGAGTAATGACCTGATTGGCCGGGAAGATGGCTCGATGCTGATTGGCAGCCAATCAGCAAGGAGCTGGCTTCCCGGCCAATCACCTGACCACGCTGACCAATGAGTGCTTGCAATTTGCGAGCAAAATTCAAAATGCATAGGGCAGGAATAAGCTGGACAGTACGGGGTAAGGACACCTGTACTGGCGGAGGGTAAGGACTGTTTGCAGAAAGTTAAGTATAGCTGGCAGGTGGGTGGGTGGGGGGTGGTTTAGAAGAGACCGGGCCAGATTTGATCGGGTAATTCCATTTTCCCGTATTACCTGGGAAAGTGAACTTACCCTTTAATGCACATTGTGTGTGTGAGAGAGTTCTGCTGCCCAGGTACCACAATATGGCACACAGTGAAATGGCAGCAGGACTCCACACACGCACACGCACACACACACACACACACACACACACAAACACAATTTCCTATGCGTGTGTTTATTTGTATGCAGATGGCAGGGGCAGCGGAGTTGGTTTTAATTTTTTTTTTTTACTTTGTCACTTATTTTTTTTCATTTTTTTTCATTTTTATATATTTTATTATATTTTACTTTTTTATAACTTTAAAAAAAATGTTTTTTCATCTTTTTATTTTTTCATTTTATTCCTATCACATAATGGTGTTAAAATCCTATATGTGATAGTTTGGAGGTGACAGGTTCTCTTTATGGAACCTGCCCTCCAACACAGAACTGATGTTCTGTGTAGTTCCTGACAGCCGAGACAGGTGGCGCTGTGATTACAGCGCCACGGTCTCAGTGATAGCACAGAGCAGACGAAGAAAGGAAGTTCTTCGTCTGCTCTGCAGGCTCTATGGTGAGCTCCCGTGCCATGGTGACGGGTCCACCAGAGGAGCGGGGGACCCCCGAAAACCACGGCGCGGGGGGGCGGACAGGATCGCCGATTCTCGCTTCATACAAGTGATCCGATTAGATCACTTGTATGAAAACGAGCGGCGGCTCCACAATATACATTTAGCTCTGCTTGTCCGGCGCAGGGCTGAATGTATTAAAAAAACTACTTGTCCGGCGCCCGAAACTGCCTGTCCCGGGCGTCGGGCGATAGGAATTCCACACCCCTGATTCTGCAGTGTCATCTTAAACAGTAATATCTGCTTTTCCCAGTTAATGTCTGTAAACTACAGAATTTTCCTTCCCCATGTTATAGAGATTAGCAGATAGGGAGGTGTTTAGCAGTGTTTTGTTTTGTTTTTTAAATTCAGATTCAGTTTTTTATTCAAGCTTTTTTTTATTACAGTTTTAACAACACATTTCTGACAAAAACACAAAATAAAACACAAAAAAACACAACTAAAAAGTAGGCACACTTATAACCACCGAGGATTAAATAATCAATCATTTAATCTATGACCTCCCGGTACATATTCCTCATCATGACTAAAAATTGATTACTTGAGTACAGGGGTGCTATGGTGGAACAGGTACGAGTTACGCTACGCACGCCGCGGGCGCCATGACCACGCTGCGTATGCCATGCCCACCACGCAAGCCGGACACACGCCCGCAGAGCACGCCGCCGCGACTTACAAGGGTTCAGAAACAGGTAAGGGGGACCTGTTTTAATGTTTCCTGTTTTTTTTTAAAAAGCGGCACACTGTAGAATACCACCAGCTATAGAGGAACACCAAATCCCAGCAATAATATATTAAACACCCGGTATAATGTATTATTGCTGGGACTTATTGTTCCTCTATAGCTGGTGGTATTCTCCATTGCGCTGTATAATGTATTTTTGCTGGGATTTGTTCCTCTATACCCCCCGCCTTCGGCTATTGTAAGGTTTCTAGCTTGATTCAAGGTTTATTGCGCCATATTAGTTCTCTAATCATAGTATTAATTCTGCGAAAAATACGGGACAAAAGCCAGCAAGGAACATTATGAAGTACAGTAACTGTGGCATCCACACTATCTTCACTAGATTTTTCTTTGCCACCACCAATAAAGGCAGTCTACGCCACCTCTTTTTGCCTGTGAAATTTGGTAAGCACTGGCAATACATTTTGCTCTATAAATTCTAGCGGGTCTCTCGAAATACAGATACCCAAATAGGTAAGGCAATCTACCACCAGAATATGAGCAACCATGTGGGGCAGCAGGGCTACTAAAAGGTCTATGGGGAAGATAGTAGACTTTTTTCCAGTCCACTGTAAGACCTGAAAACCTGCTAAAATCGATAACATCACCACCGTCAGGAGGGGAGAAGAGGTGTCTGCTAAAAATATCAAAGAATCATCTGCGTATAGAGCATTTTTATCTTTATTGCTTCCTCTTCTAAAACCCGCCACAGCAGAAGTGGATCTCAACAAGACAGCAAGAGGCTCAATTGCCAAGGCGAATAAAAGAGGGGATATTGGACACCCTTGCCTGGTCCCTCTCTGCAGCGCAAAAAGAGATGTAATAGTGTGATTAACTCTTATCCTTGCTGTTGGACTAAAATATAGCAGTCAGATCCATGACCAGACCGAAATCCAAAAAGGCAGAGGACCCAGAGAGATAGACCCACTCAAATCTATCAAAAGCCTTAGCGATGTCTAGAGAAAGGAATGCCCTGCTGCCAGTATTCTCAATCGGCACTCAATCAGGACTTGCATGTTCTCATCTGTAGATTTATTGGGCATAAAGCCTGATTGGCAACAGTGATGCATGGTCTTGTCCACCCGGATCAATCTCGTAGCCAAAACTTTGGGCAAAATTTTATCATCAATGTTTAACAAGGAGATGGGATGATAAGATTCTGGCAGCATGGGATCCATCCCTTTTATCGTCATTACCACCACTATAGCCTCGTTCATTGAAGCAGGTAAACTACCATTTACAAAAGCATCATTAAAAGTATTGCGCAAGAATGGTAAAAGCTTATGCTTGTACTGTTTATAGATTTCTGTTGGCAATCCTTCTAGCCCTGGAGCCTTATCATTAGGAAAGCTGGCAACTGCCAGTTCCAGCGCTTCCAGTTTCAATTGAGAAGCCAAAGTCTCCCTTTCCGGCATCGATAGGGACAGAAGGATTCATTTGGACAGATATACCCTAAGTTCCTCCACAGAGTAGTAGTTTCTAGAGGAATATACGGTAACTCAATAAAAAAATAGTTGAAGAATGTCTCGGATCGCCCCAGAATCTGTATGTATAGCCCCCCTGGCATTCCGAAGGGCAGCTATATATATTGCCGATGTCTGTAACCGTACTATTTGTGCCAGTATTTTGCCCGTAAACTCGCCCCTCTTTCCAATACATTTGTTGAAAAAAGAAAAGCTTATTGTGTGCCTTTTTGAAGTAGCATCTTCCAATGTAGCCTGAACAGCTTTCTAGGCCTCGCAGGTAGATGTGGTAGGGGCAGCAAAAAAGGCGGCTTCACACCTAGCTAAATCTTTTTGGCACATTAACATTATCTTGTTCCCTACCCTTTGTTTTAATAATGCTAATTTGCTTAATACAAAGGCCTCTCAAATAGGCTTTTAGGGCATCCCAAACAACCCCCTGTGAGACAATAGACATAATACACAGAAACTCTCTAATGCCTGATTCGATCGGTTCATGCGAGGGAAACGCAGCCAAAAGAGTCGCCAAGGCAGTTTACCCAAGGTGCAGGCAAAAGAGAGCTCACAGTACACCATAGAGTGGTCTGAAAGGGAACGAGGAGGTATTTTGTAGTTTTTAATATACCTCTTGTCTAAGGGTAACAACGCTGCTCCCCATATAGTATTGGCAAGTGGGCGCTGTCACCTAAGGGCAAGAAGTGTGTTAATGGCAGGGTCACCAGGTAAAAATGAATGAAAAAAGCTAGCAGACATGAATGTGTCCCTCACCTCATTTGGGTGAGTGGCACATCAATGTGGACATGGGCAATGTGAGGGTCTACCTTCTATGAACAGGCCCATGTCCTGTTCTAAGGGCTTTGAGATTACATAATGTAGTGTTTTGTTTTTTTTCCTGTGGGCCATGTACTACTACACTAGTAGACAAACTTCCATGAATGCTCTGTTTTTGTGAAGCTCTTTGTAAACACTACCATATCCCAGCCATTCAGGAATTCAGCACTACTTTTTGTGGCTACTGTTGGAAGAAACTGTGTTGTATTATCCAATTAAGGCTTGTCAGGATCTGCAGCTTATTTGTGGGTGAAAAAAGGGTATTTTTGTACAGCTTACATGCTTTTTGTTATATTTTTGTTTAGATTTAATAATCTAACCTTGTTTGAATTAAATATGATCTCACCAAACTTGGTATTATGGTCTTTTAACGCTCTTTGTATGTTTTCAGGTGAGATTCATCGACATACTGACATCAATGTGTTTGGCGAGCCTACTGAATTTGAGTATTTGAGAAAAGTAATGTTTGAGTACATGATGGGACGAGAAACTAAGGTAACAAACTATAGTTCCCCTGTAAATCAATATATGGAAACTGTTTTTTTAATCATTTATATGGGACATTTTCAGGATTAGGTTGCTTTTACACACAGGTACACAGTATCTGATTATTGCAGCCGGACTATTGGTTCGCAGCAGGGGGTATATTTATGGTATTTGTTGGAAAATTAAGAAAACTGTAAAAAAAAAAAAAAAAAGACTTTTCACTGCCCTAAGATAATATCCTTAGATGTTCTGGATTCCTTGAGAAGACTTAAAGGAGAACTATGGGGTTAAGTCTTTTCCCCATAGTTCTTAGGGTAAATGGAGGACACAAACTAGCGTCCTCCCGTCACCCTAGGCTCAGTATACCGCGAGCTTTAGCTCGCGGTATACTGAGACGCCGCAGTATACCGCGAGCAGATGCTCGCCGTATACTGAGACGCCGCAGCGGATCCCGACAATTGTGCCGGGTTCCGCCCAGCTGCGTGACTGACAGCTGGCTCTGCCTATCTAAAGGCAGAGCCAGCCGTACCCGCCCCCTCCCCCGTCCGTTCCGCCAGTCAGCGCTGGCGGATCGGAGGGGGGAATCCAGCCCCTCCCCTGTCACGGCAGAGAGCCGTGACAGGATCGAGAGGTGAGCGAACGCCGGTATATGTTCGCTCACCTCCCGATCTACTGAGCCGACCTGTGACAGTCTCATTGTCACAGGTCGGCTAGAACTATGAGGTGAGTGAAAATCACTCACCTCATAGTTCTCCTTTAAATATAAATGTTTGTATGTATGCATGCTACTATCCTATCTACATATGTTGGTGAAGCAAAGTGCGAGCAACTATAAGTGGAGTTAAGTTACTTATTAATCGTTGCCATAATGATTGAGTTCCTTCTTTCTGGATAGAACAATATGAGAACATTAGAGACCCAGTTTGTGTAGCATCAATACATTCAAGACCTGAAAATTACCAAGCTATAAATGCTCTATTCTTTTCTATGTAGCATTCGTTGGATGTGGATCTAAAATAATTAACATTTTAGCACATGTTCTTCACCTCAAGCTGTATACGTGTCTATTTTTTTTTTTTGCCTTCAGTAGGGTGTAGGGGGCCTGGTGTAAAAATTGTGTGAAGTACTGAGGTATATTTTTGTAATATAGAGAGCAAGCATTTTCAGAATAATCTTTCATTTCGACAAGTTTTGTTTGCTATTACATTAAGCTATAATTTGTTTTAACTAGACAATGGCAAAAGTAATCACAACAGTGCTGAGATTTCCATCTGACCAAGCCCAGAAAATTCTTGAGAGAGAAGATACCCGACCTGTGGTAAGCCTGATTTGTATGAATGTTCATTTGTGTTTAGTGATATGCAATTACCCAGGCATAAGAAAAAGCAATATGAGGAAATCAAGTAGAGAAACCAATAATAGAGTGTGGGAGTCAGGGTTGTTCTGGTTACAGCTTTTAAACCCTACATTTACTAAATAAATTATCAGTTTTTTGTGTCCTAGGTACTGCACATGTACTTAAAACAATCCTCAGCGGATATCTGCAAAAATGTCTGTAGAAAATATTTAGGTGATAAGTAATGCACCTCACTGTTTGTACATATTTAAGTGGGGTTTATGGCTTGCGAAATAGATGCCAGGTATCTGGGATAGGCTTAAAGCACAACTTAAAGTGTGTTTCAGTACAAAATAAAATGCAGAGTATCTCTGCAATACATTCAGATTCCACTTGTTTTGACCCTTTTTAAAGACCCCACAAGTACAGAATCACCGGTTCTGCCAGAAATGCACCCAGCTAGTAATTTTCTTCTGTAGACTGACAACACATGCCTTTTTTTTAGACTGAATTTGCAAGATTTTTTGCCAAATCTGCCCAATTGTCTATTAAGCTACTGAATTCCTCCTCTCCAGAGCATAGAGAGTAATTATTCTTTAGTCCAAGATAAGAACTTGCTCAAAGTTCTGACACGATGTCCGACACATGATTCAATAAAATCACAGATTGTGAAATATTCCATCTGCTTCTGTTAAGAGACTGATCTTTCTGAAGACATTGAGGGGAATTTATCAACACTGGAGCAGACAAAATCTGGAACATCTGTGCACTGCAACCAATCAGCTTCTCTTTCATTTTCAAATCCTAACTGAACAAACTGAAGAGAGAAGCTGATTGGTTGCCCTGGGCAACTGCTCTAGATTTTGTCTGCTCCAGTTTTGATAAATTCCCCTAATTGTGTAGTGTTAAGTACAAGTTCATGTTAAACACAACAGACAGATTACTATATAACCTTCAATTTATAAGCTTCACATTTGGGAATATCACAGCTTCTAACAATTATTTAAATACAACCAAACATTTGAGTGCTATACAATACAGACTTCCATTTTATGGTAATTTGGGATATTTGCATTACTGCAATAAACTGTCAGAGCTTTGCCAGCTAGTGATAAAGCAATGCAAGTAATGTAGCAGAGTATTACAGTATGTGTAAATAGCTGGAATCTTTTGCTGACTTTTCAATCTGTGATAGCCCAAAAACAGAGACAAAAAAACTTGCTAGATTCATATTTGTTACTGTAATTGCTCTGGTGGTTTAGTGCACGTTCCATTTGAACCCTTTAACATTGTTTGTTTTTTTCTGTGCCCATTGGGAATGTTAGCAGAGGTACAGACCTAGCAAAATACATTTAAATGATATACAAATGTACATGAGAAACCTCTTTTGTGAATACTGCATATTCTCCTATTCGGTGGACTTGGTTCAATGCACATGCATATGGATGTCCGGTTCTGTTTCACTGCCTGTCTATAATGGCTTAGTCACCACTGGTTTCCTTAAATGCTCATCAGCACCAGCTGCTGGGGCGTAATAGTACTTTAGGCTTTGCCTCACATTGGGCCTAGTTGCTGGCAACCACATGGCACAGCATGTCTTCTCAAAGACACACAGGTTCCTGCTGCTTTAGGAGATTTCCGCCCATACTTCCCTGATGGCACTGGGCTTGTTTACTCAGTATCCTGAGATGGAACGGATGCCTGTAGTCTGGAGCCTATAACTATTGTTATAGGGTCTTTATCTGCAAAGTCTATTTTAGCACCATGGACATCGGGGGAGGGGGTTGGCGATAGCAAGCTGGGTCTGTTAAAGCTCTTAAGGCTGCAAAGACCTTTCCACTAAACCTGCTGTTTAAGGTCTTCTTCCATGAAGACTAAAAACATCCTAATATGTCCTGTGCCCCACCTGAGGCTGTGCCGGAGCATTTTTCTTTAGAGAAAAAATTCAGTAATAGGTAGTCCATGTCCAATGTTGATGGGCCAGTTATCCATGGTACCATAGATGCCACTAGAAGGGTCATAGTTACCTTTGGGGACTTCAGTGTTATTAAGTTATATTCCCTGTTTGATCCCAGTCTGAATTAACTGGTTTGGTCCTCCATCCTGTGCTGGTGGTAACTGTGATCTGTTAAACCATGTCAAAATTAATTAAACTGCTTAGAGATAATTATTTCACTGCTAGGGTAGGTCCTCGTGTTATGGTACAGTTGGAACAGATGTCTGAAGTCTTACATGTTAGCTTATGACAGTTTTTACAAGCCTATGAACTTGTGTCCTGCATAGGACTGTTGTCTGCACATATTCATTTGACACTCTGGCAAAATGTATGGGACATGAATGAGAACTCCAAAGAGCAGTTGATTTGCTTTTCCTTCAAGGCATGTTGTCTTTTTGGACTAGCTCTTGACATTGTCATTAGGAATGTGTTTAGGCAGCCACAGTATGCTCCTACCTAATATTTAGAGGAGCCTCATGCCTCCTATATCTTCTGCCTTAGCAGTGAGTGTTTGTAACTGTTCATCACCAACCAACAAGGCTGACCATCTTAGGTCTGCACCCTCTGGGTTAGTGAAATGTTCCTGAATGGTCACAGTATTTCCCACTCCTTCGCAATTAGGGAATAGTAGGGTATTGGGGCTTACCTTTTTATATATCACCTTTTTCTTTTGTTGAACTTCAGTCTTTCATTGGCTCTCACTTGGTATGTGGGATTCTGCACTGTAGGCCAGATGTGCAGGTGGCCTCCTAATATGAACCCTCGCTCTCTTAGGATCTATAGGTCGGTACCCACCCATCGTGGGAGAATTTCTGGTCTCAAGGCTGTCCTCGTGTCTGGAAATTGAGCCTGGGTTCCTGGAGCAGTCAATGCCTGCTTTTCTGGGAGGTCCTACTGTAAATAGGTCAGTTGACTTGGACCCTGCTAGACATCACTTCGCTGCTCACATATGGGAAGGCTTGGCAATTCTCCATGTGACATCATGAGTGACCCTACGCTTGATGTCGAGGATGATTACTCTCTCTGTAGTAGCTATCAGTGTCAAGTGTTGACAATGTGTCATTGACTGCAAGCATAGTCAGTATACTACTCTTGATGTCGAGGATGGTAATCTCATTCGCACGGTTCCTTTTTAGAGGCACCATTTTTGTCTTCTGGGTCACTCCATCCTGTAGTCTCCATCCTGGAGAGACAAGTGTGTATTTGGGTGTGCTTTAGCTCATGCAGGCCACAAAGAAACCATTGCTAGAGAGCTTGTTGTTCCCTGGTTTGTGATCAGACAGCTCATGATGCAACCCAGCTGCAGACCTTCTCTGTGGGAGTGCGTGTCCGGGGGTCTTGATGGGTTTGGAATATTTGGAGTCAGACCTTCCTACTGTGGCTGATTTGCATCTTGATTAGGAAGTTCCTCAAAATATCTTCTTTAATCCTGTCCATAATCAGGTGATCATGCTTGGCTCTCTGGCTAAGGAATGCATGACATTTTGTAAGGTTCTAGTGTCACAACTGGGTGTGGACAGGTCTGCTCGTCCTACTGTTTTTTGGTATTTCTGCACCAGTATGGGGTGGTTGTCTCCCCACTCCTGTTTATTTTGATAGGGGTACTTCTTGCACCCTTTTTCCCCCTTTTGTCATTCTTACATTTTTAAGGAAAAAAAAAGACGTTTTCACTTTGTTGGCCATTGTTGTTGCTGGTCTGTTCTTCCTTTATTGGGTAGTTGTATTGCTCCACCTTTTGGTAGTTGCTTTGACTCGCAGCTTCTGCTGGTGTGGAATCAGTGTTCTTTGAGGTAGTCTTTCCCTTTGGTGGGGATTTTTGTCTTAGTCTGGGCAGCTGGTTGATCCACCCTCCTGGGTTAACAGTTCCCCTGACCCATAGAGAACGTCACATCTTCTGGTTCAGATTTGGGCATTGGCCTTCCAGTTGTTGCAGATTTCTCCTGGTCCTATCTTAGATCTGGTATTGGCAATTGCCCAACCCCGATTTGGATGCCTGACTGTTTCAGAATACCTGTTTTTCTTACCATAATATCTTTTCCTTGAAGTCTGTTGAGGGCCGTAGGTCCCGCTATTGTGTTTATTGGCTTTATATACTACTTTATATACTACTTACCCATATAATTTGAGGTGCGACTGTTACAGGCAAAGCTATACAAGGGCTGGCCAAAAACGTTTTTTGTTTGCCCGTGTGCAATCCTCCTGTAGGCAGCAGTATATCCTGACTGTTTCAGACTTCCTACATTTATAAGTCCCTCTATGGGCTTCATAAAAATAATTTTATGTTAAGTACAAAAATCTTATTTTATGGGTTGCACCCATGCAATGGCTTTGCAGAGTATTCTGTATTTTTGTTTTGGGTTGCATAGTAGTAGCTTCTCTCCTCATTGCACTCTCTATTGATTGGAAACGCCCTATGCAGCCTTACAGACATGGAGAGAAGGAGGTTTATGTTATTATATGATTCATCAAGCTGTTTATGTAATATTATTTCTCTCACTGTACAGTCAAACAAGTGATACGTGTAGTTTTGGGTTAAGCATTGATATATGGTTTAGCAATTCAGCTTCCTATGTCACTTTTCTGTCTCCATCCTCCCTACTGGAAAGTGAATCAGCAAAAAAAATGTTTCCAATGAGCTGACCCAGGAAGCAGCAGAGTGACCCCACTGACAAGTAGAGGTGTGTGTAAAACAAAAAAATGCTGACTAAAATACAAAACTCTTTGGCAGATAAAACCGTAAACATTAAGTTCACAATAAAGTTATCCTGGTGAACATGTGAAAAGGTACCTTGAGTTTCATGTGCTGTTTAGTAATAGTGAATATGAAATATTTCTAGGTAGTATTTCATGTTTACCAGGTTAAAGTAAAAAACCTTAGGACTTTTCGTTTTTGGAATGGTCTGAGAATCTTGGGTGATTTAGAGATTTAATACACATCACATGACACATGATTATGAATGACAAGGACCTGAGGTGTGCCATGGTCCTGGTGGACAGTAATACCAATAAAGGGGCATACTCAGAGTGAAGAGTGGAGTGAAGTCCCAACTGTGAAACCCAAGGACGGGTGGGAGGGTTGCTCGGAAGACTTCCCGTCCCAAGCACTCCCGGAGGTGCAGACTCCTCCCACAAATTCAGGCTAATATACTAAACATACAAGGCTTGAAAAATCCAGAGTACGGCGGAGCCCGACGAGCAGCTTTACAGTCAAGCGATCCGGCGTCTCTATAGATGCTCGATCGCTTGTATCAGAAGCTGTCACTGCCGTTGCCGGTCCCGAGATCCGCTGTGTCCGATGCGGCCAGCCCCTGAATGCAGGAAGTGATGTATATTACATCACTTCCTGCATTCAGTGTCACTCTCCAGCTAGAGAAGCTGATGAAGCCCATCTCTGCTTCATCAGCTTCTCTGGGGATCCCTAGGTGACATTAGGGGTCTTCGAGACCCCTGATGTCTCCATAAAGAGGACCTGTCATGTAAATTGGCTATCCCATAGGGGGCTTCTTAGCCCCCCATCTAATAGCAGCCGGATAGCCCTAGTAAACACGCGTTTGATGCGTGTTTCGTGGACCGCAAATCGGTGTAAAAAACGCACGTCATACGTGCATATTTCGATCACCTAGGTGGGAATCTAGCCTAAAGGAGAACTATGAGGTGAGTGCTTTTCACTCACGCTAGTTTGTGTCCTCCCGTTACCCAAGAATAAATGTTTTATAACATAACGCAGGGAAACTTTTTTTTATTTTTTTTATTTTATGGTACTTTTTTCATTATATAGTAAAAAAAAAATAATGGTTGATGGTTGTGGAACCAGACGCCTAACGGCTCTTTCAACTTCGTCCCACAAATGCTCAATTGGATTGAGATTTGATCATTGTGGGGGCCACCTAAGCAAGGCAAATTCTCCCTCATGTTCTTGAAACCACTCCTGCACAATACGAGCACTGTGGCATGGCGCATTGTCTTGTTGGAAGAAGCCATCTCCATTGGGATACGCCATCAACATGATAGGATGAACTTGATCAGCAACGATACTTTGGTATGTTGTGCTATTCAGACGTTGTTCCACACAAATTAAAGGGCCCAAATCATGCCAGAAAAACATGCCCTAAACTATAACACTGCCCCCACCAGCTTGAAGGGTTGTACTCATGCATGTACTCGTGGGGTGCATGCTTTTATGCTGTTCCCACCAAATTGTCACTCTGCCATCTGCATGATGCAACTGGAAACGTGATTAATCGGACCACATGACTTTTTTTCCAATGCTCCACTGTCCAATCCTTGTGTTCCTGTGCGAATTGGAGACGTTTTATCTTGTTAACTGCAGACAGCAAAGGTGTTTGAACAGGCCTTAGGCTTCCATATGCAGTGTACGGAGAACAGTGCGTTCAGAGATCATTTGCGAGAAGTGTGTCAAGGCAGATATTGGTTGTCCTAGAACATGATGGAGGGGGTGTAAGTTTGTAAAACCACCCTTTTCGAATTACATAATCCAGTCACTATGGATTCATGAAGTTTGTGATCATTGTTAATAATTAAAATTATGGTTGTTCTAGTTTGACATAGATGGCTGCATTCACGCCCTTATGAACCATACAAATGTGCACCTCACTTTCCTAACCTGCCCAGTTCCCCTTTCGTTGTTGGGCTAGTTGTTTGTTATGTCTTTCCCGTGTACAAGTCTTCACATTTTTCACTACACTGGACTGTGTATACCAGGTTGCTTCATGTGTATTTGTGTGTTGGATGTTTTGAATGTACAAGCTTACTGTATGTCTCTCAGTAGTTGAATGTGACTAACTACTATTGGCTATACCATTGCCTGTATAAATAGAAATCTTTACATCCATTTTTATACTAGATATTTTCATAATAAAGACAAATAAGCTCACTGAGGTGTAATGTAGAGAAACGGCTACATGTCATTATAGCACTCATTTACCATTTCTAGTTTTTAATGCTTATTAATGATCATTTAATAACCTGCTTATATCAATCTCTATAGACTATGTGTAATCAAGCAAGATTACTAACTTTCTGTGTCTCTGTTAACCACACTAAGCTCTTTTCTCCCTGGCTTTGTAGTTTACACCTCCTCGCAGCGGTATCTTCTGAGTCAATCCAAGCTTAGTTAGCACGCTGGTGAGTGAAGAATTGTATTTTGTTATAGTTCTCCTCCGTTACATTGAGCCTTCTTTGTACTTTGCTTGGCTTACTATGTGCCTTTGACCAACAACTCATCTTTTTTTTAGAACGTCCTTTGCTATTTTGATTAATACTTTTTTTTCGTGATTGCTTATCTCTTCTCTGTTCCATAGTAGCCTGCCAAACATTGCCTTGTGTATGCAGTGTCATGCATTCTGTGCTCCTTTTCTTTTTTTCTGTGTTGTTTTTTTTTTTTTTTACAAATGAAAGAAAGTCTTAATATGTTATTTTTTTGGGGAATCCTGGTTTTGCACAGCAATGCACAAAGTACAAACAGGACAATGTAAGGGCTACATTACAATACAACTGTAATAACGCAGTGACAAAGTCAGGGGTGTAACTACAAATCTTGGGCCCCCTTGGATAACTCTCTGTAGCAGCTATCAGTGTGAAATGTTGACAATATGTGTCCTTGACTGCAAGCATAGTCTGTACACTACTAGGGACCAGTGCTGGGGGGGTAAAAGTATGCATAGCACTAATAATAATCATAATGATATGTTATATTATGATAAAATAATTAATGCTCTTGCACGCACTAACTTTTCAACAGTAATACCAACGTCTTTATACTCTAGCTTCATTAAACTTTTTTTGTAGAACCACAAATCTCAGCCCTCCTACAAGGTTTTAACAGAGGTGAAACTCTGAAATTTGTGACTGCATTAGGCATACAGGGTTATTATCAGTCTGTTGCAGGAGTTCAGAGGGCTATAAATCTACTCTGCTAAGATAGATAAGCAAATGCTTCTTAATGTACAGAGGGGGATCTGTGGCTAGACAAGCCCATTTGCACCTTTGCAGAGGTATTTTGAAAGAAACATATGCCAGCGTAACATACGTACATGAAGCAGGCATATGCAGTTGCTGTATATGAACACGGAAGCTTACTTTTTTTGTCCTCCATCTCCTCATGGCTCCTTTTTGAAGTGGCCGCCTCTGTGCTCTGCAAGCAGTATGTGTAAATTAACACTCTCTTGCTGAGCTCTCTCCCCCTATTCAGTGTATTTGTACCTGGAAAGGCAGAATTGGTGTGCACTGATGTTGTTACAATGACTCATAGGAAGGGTGGCAGCTACATTACAAGACAGTCCGACCCCAGTTTCAGAACATTTTCAATTTGTAGGCCTACTAAAAAATCCTTTAAAAAATAAGAAATCCAGCAAAGCGAGTCATAAAATGGTACACACATATACATCACTGCACCTCTACATTACCACAATAAATGCCAATTGCTTACAAAGATGGAAATGGGCTTGAAGAACTTCTACACTGGATACCTCACATTTTAATTTTTCTAACCAGCCCCCCCTAATGGGGCCCCTTCCCATAGCAGCCATATGGGTTACTATGGCCATTGTTACGCCACTGGACAAGGCAATATAGACTTTGAGATACGAGTCCTTCTCGCTTACAAAGTAAGAGTGAAAGAAAACAAACAAATGGTTAGGGGAATTGTAGGGTACCCAGCACACAACATTTGTAGTTTCTTGGCTAAAAATTTTGGTAGTAAAAACATCTAGTAGCTGTGAAATCAGAGCATAAATTATTCTTAAGAAATTAGCTTTTAACAGCATGTTCGGAGGGCTGATGTTTTGCAAGTGTCTTGTGACCTGAGGTGTGCAGTGCAGGTAAAATGAAAAGTTGAGTCATTTCTGTGAGGCGAAAAATTGTAGTGTTTTTATTTAGGACAGGTTATCTGATAAAATACCGTTAGGTGATTTGTATGTTAGAACTAAAATGTAAAATGTAATTGGTTCAGGGCGATGGAGGGTACGACCTAAACTCTGGCTGTTTGTTGGTCAGCAAACTAAATAGGTTAAAACATGAATAAGTATACACTGTGCCCTCAAAGTGAAAACATTATTTCTGTGCCAAAAATATGTTAATTCATTAATAAACACAACTAAGAAGAAAAATGGAGGCTTATAATACTATAAAGGGAAACACTGTAATTAAATGTGATAATAGAAAATTGTATAATCACTGTTTTTACCTCCTAAATATGTATTTAAACAATCAGATCTTAACATATATTTGAATATCTAGCTGTCACAATGTTAACACACACAAAGGAAAGTGCTAAATCCGTACTGAAATCTTAGCATATAAAATCCATATAAATTTTCTAGGGCTGAGGAAATTAACGATTAATTTCTCGATTAATCGTTAAACTTTTTGATCGATTAAAATTATTTTGATCGCTAATGAATACACTCACCTCTCCGCCGGCTTCCGGGAGTCCCGTCGGAGATCCGGTGATGTCACCGGACTCCCCCCTTCCCCAAGTGGCTCCGTCGGCTAACGAAGAGGTGAGGAGTCCGGTGACGTCCATGTCCCCAAGTGGCTCCGTCGGCTAACGTCGCTCCGTGACGTCGATGTCCGTGACGTCACCGGATTCCTCCCCCCCTTCCCTTCGTTAGCCGACGGAGCCACTTGGGACGGTGAGTTTTCCCAAGAAACTTTCTGCACGAGCGCCAGCCAAGGCATTGGCCTATACACATACAGCACAGCAATTAAGTAATAGAATGAACTAGGATCACACTAATCCAGCACGTTATTATTCTGAGTTGCCCCACTCAAGCGGCGGCCATATTGAGTGGGGCACGTGAGATTAATAACGTGCTGGATTAGTGTGATCCTAGTTCATTTTATTACTTAATTGCTGTGCTGTATGTGTATAGGCCAATGTAGTTGGATCTGTATGTGCGTTATAATTAAATGATTCAATAAAAAATTTGATTAATCGAACACGAAAATGTTAATCAGTACCAGCGCTAAAATTTTCTTTCCCTGCCAATTAGACATCAGTAGATTATTATAGCAGTGATCTTCTGCTGCGGGGAAGAGGCTGGACAGAGCTACCGTAGCTCTACCCGATCCTTCGTGCTAGGAGGTAGTCCTGAGACATCACTCATGCCGTTTCTAGCTACCCACCCCCTTTGTTTTATGTTTCTTTGCCTGTTGGCTTTGAGAATTAATTTTCATTATTAGCCTCTTATTGACTTCAGTTGAGTTAACATTAAAGTTTGCAGTTTGCAGTCTGTTTAAATAGTTTGCAAAACCTTCCACAAGTTAAACCCAGGCACATTTGAGTTATCACTAGTGGCCAGTGAATGAACATGGAAACATTATTGTCCGCTCCACATCACCTGACAAGGCACATGCTTGTAAGTGACTTAAAGAGACTCTGTCACTTTGCATATTCAGATCAAATGACAAATTCTGGTGGACACCAAATTTCCATATGCTTATGCCCACATTTTCTGCACACCCCTACCACTCCATTTCTCCATCAGGAAACATCCTCTCCTTCTGACATGTTCTTTTTATGTCTTAGTTGCTGTTTTAAAATGGTACTGGGCTAGCAGTTTCTCCTTGTATTGGTTTTAAACGGTTTTTACTTTCAGCGCCCATCCAGCAATCAGCCTAGAGCAGAACTAATGGGTAAATATGTATGCATCACATTCTGCAACAAACTAAATCCCTCTATAGCTGGGAAAAATAGATGTAAATTATGTTCGGCGAGACTATATATGTAAAATGTTATAGGTGCAAAAGTTGCACATCTGCAAAATAAGAAACTACCTGATCCAATGGGAGAAATTGAAATAGCTAAATAAAAGGTATTCAGTAGTGCGCTAGTGAATGTCAAGCCTAAAAGCAGAGTCACAAATGGCCACAAGACAACAAGCTTAAGAAACTGAGGTGATCACAACATTATCCACACAAATTTCTAAGGATAACCTATGCTGAGAGAGCTTTGCTGGCTATCTGAAAATACAAGCTGACTGCCAGTCCTTTGTCTTCAGTACATTCTGGATTACTGAGCCAGTACAGGTATGCAGCAAATGCAAGTAAAACTCTTTCTATATTCTTGTGCTACTTTTGATAACTTAAAGTGAAGCCGTTAGATGAGTTTGGCAGCAAGGTAACTGGTGTTTTCAAAAAAGGTCAGCAGTGGCAGCCTTTTGTATTTCTTTAAATATGGATTTAAGTTTTGGTCATGTTACGTTTTACAGTAGTTCTAATGCTGATCCCTGAAGCATGATTTGCCAATGATTGAGCAGCATGCAATTCAATTCTGTCCCCTCAGACCATGCTTTTGACATTACTGAAAGTAAAGTATGCACAGTTTAGGATGCTTGAAACACATCCTGGCAAGTTCACAGCCTATATTCTTGGATGAAGATATTTTAAAATTATTTGTAGCCAGGGTGCTAAATTAGTCTTACAAAATTGTATTGCATTTATATTCATAGATGTTTGTTGATGTACAGTGCATGTTTTTTGAATTAAGATTGTGTTCCTTTATTGTGGACCCTTTGCTTAAAAAACCCCCCAAAAACCCCCAAAACATTATAAATGATGGAGGCATTGTTCTAACTTTAAATCCAGGATTCAGGTTGCACAAAAGCAAACCCAGTATGTTTTTCATATAACTCACAGATATGTGATGGCACAAAGCTCTATCTTTTATAAAGTGAACCTATGCCTAAGTAACACATGTTTACACTAGAGACACCTCAGAATTGTATGCATAACAGTGCTTCAGCCTGGGCATTGGTCCACAGAGGCACCCAGCTATTCATGATGGAGAGGCAGGAGTGTCATCTGAGCCTCCCCTCCATTACCTGATAGTGAGGTATTGCAGTGAATGTGAGTAAAGACTGCTAATGGTGCTTTCTATAAAGCAAACCGGAAACAACTGTAATTACATTATTTTGTTTGTAAAATGAAATGCACAATGTCACAAATTAGTACAAAATAATCACAGTAAGGGCCTTTTTCCTACAAATTTTCACACTACTTCCCCCCAAAATTCACACTACTTTCCCTCAAAATCTTGCATGGAGCTCCAGACCGAGGGCGATTGATGGTTATCTTATATTTCTTCCATTTGCGAATCGCTCCAACAGTTGTTTCCTTCTCACCAAGCTTCTTGCTGACAGTCTTGTAGCCCATTCCAGCCTTGTGCAGGTCTACAATCTTGTCCCTAATGTCCTTTTGACAGCTCTTTGGTCTTGCCCATGGTGGTGAGGTTCTGTCTCTATCATTTAAAATACACATATGATTAAAATTTATAGACCTTTCATTTCTTTGTAAGTGGGCAAACTTACAAAATCTGCAGGGGATCAAATAATTATTTTACTCGCTGTATAACCAAGGTCGGGGATGCAAAAGCTATGTGTACCTCTAGGATAAGGACATCTTGAAGAGAGGTAACTGAATGTATGAGTTCTAGACTAGTAGAAGGTGTGGGTTTGACTTACAATACCACATATATACAATGTCTACTAGTTATTCTTCTGAATTCTGTTGAAAAGTACTGTACAGCCCTATTACAGCACTCCGAGGATTTAAGAAAACATGTTAAAACATAAGGGTTATGAAAGGATTTTACAAATGAAAGAAAGTCAACATCACTCCTACTTTTTGCGATGAGGTGTTTTGCACACATTCTGTACAATGCCCAAGCAGGAGTTATACTCGCCAGTAAAAACAGGCAAAGAAGAACTCCATGGAAAATTTGTATTCACTCTTGCAGTGCGGCTACCCCCACACTGCAAGGGGTAACTGCTTGTTTTTCTAGGTGCTAAAAAAAAAGTTATACTCATCCGAACCGCCAAGCTGACTCCTTCTCCAGTCAATGAAGCATGTCTCCTCCACTGAACAGTCTCCTTATGTCACTACAATTGTATAGAATGTTATGACACAAGGATTCTTAGACCCCTGCACAGGGGGGCGAGAGAGGCTCTAGGGACAGGTCTAAGAACAAAGCAGCTCGGATGATCAGGTAAGTATAGATTTTTTTAGCACCTGCAGTTAACGCTTGTAGCACAGAGGTAGCATTGGTTAATCAAATTTTCCCCTGGAGTTCTGCAAGCCACTTTTGAACGTTTGCACATACATTTACAATACATTTGTGTTTGAGTCTAGCATATTAAAAACATTGTTTGTGGGAGATTACCATAATCCAAACCAGCTTTAAATACATATACAGCTACTATCCCTCTCCAGTGTTAATTAGCTGAACACTACCTGGACTCTTAGAATAATGTTCTGTAAATATATAGGAGACTAAGGTTTTAGGAAATACACTCAGTGTAATGTCTGGAGGAAATAAACACCATAATGAAACCCAAACCTCAACCCAAGTGTAAACCATTTTTTTTTTCTGTTATTTATTTTATTTAAATCAGAATTGTGGTTGGGAAATGATGTATAAATGAATTGTCTTATACATTTGTTGCTAACAAATCTAACTTTTTTTTCTTCTTTTGCAGTCTTGGTTGAGACCTTCCACTTAATGCTGCTTTGAAGACACTGCTTCCTCTAGATTTGTCAGCATTGGATTCTTACAACTGAAGGAATAAAATGAAAGCCAAATCTAATAGGTTTAACAATAAAAAAACTTTTACCATTAACTGCCTTGAGTTGAGCTGACGCTACATAGTGACCATTTTGTCACTTTTTTTATCACCTTTCTTCTTCTAAAAGGACTGTTCTGTACATTGGTACAATAACTGTTTTAAAATGGACAAAATAATTTATTATGTATGAGAAATAGTTTATTGAAATGTGACTTGCATAACAAATAAGTAAGCGCTTGCATGAAATATTGTCCAGATGCTTAAAAAAGTGTCACCATTGCTAACTTGATAATGTCTGTATTTGCCCAATCACAGGCACCTCAAACTGGGTGCTTATACTTTCATTCTTGGCAAAACATCTTCTGTTTGAGTTAGGGATCTTATACCCAGAAGCATGCTATATGCAGGTCTTTAAGAGGAACTGAACTCTTGAAGGTATGCCCAAAAAAGGCAGGCAGAGGACATATCACTAGTCACCCTTATTGCATGTTGCCTCATTGCAATTGATCTTTTCACCATCACTGACTTAAGATGCCCTATTCTGCACTGTCTCCCTCTTTGGTTGTGGCCGTCTGGGTAGAGCCAGTATTTTGCTTTCTTAACACAGCAACAATGAGCAGCACAGTAGTGACATTATGAAATCTCATGCAAAGTCTGGTAAGGCTAGTAGTCAAAGGCAGCAGTGCTTTAGATTTCACACTTCAGATTATCAGCTTGGGAGCTATAGGCTCTGGAGTGCCTAGGCACCCTCACATACCTGGAACTGTACTGCTGTTTTTCAAGAGTAACGCAAGAAAAGTTAGATTTGAAGGGTACTGCTCAGGCACAATTAGTATTTCTAAATGTTGCCTATAACTTTGTAAATCTTTGCGGTTTGAGTTCAGATCCACTTTGACTTGCAACCCATCAAGAACACCTTTCTTCTCACATCTAACAGCACACCCCACTGTCCCTGTTTGCTTAACCCAAAGGAAAGCATGTGTTACGGAAAATAAGGTATTGTCACTTGGGCTGCAAAAGAAGATTTTTATATAATTGCTTTGTGGTTTTGGTGATCTTTATAAAACTTAGTAGAGTTTAATGCAATCAAAGTATGTGGTCAGGCACTTCAAAGTGCTTGCCATTTGATGTACCTTTAGACATTAACAGGTTAGCAAAGGGAAAAAAGCTCTTTAAAGCACCCCCCAAAAAAAATGTTTTGGTGGAGGCTCTGTGTATAAAATACTTACCCATCATAATATAGCCCATAAAATAATGGTTATATAATAGTTATATAGTTTACCTACTATTCTGGTGTTGAGTAAAGAGAGTCTGCATTAAATTTTCTGAATGCTATTGCACTCTTATCTTCACATCAGGCCTGTAAAGATGTGCATGATTTTGTACACCGGCTACCCCCATTACACTCCATCTAAAACGTCTTTTATTGTTTTTGCTAGAGGTCTAGCACTGCAACCGTGAACACTAGTAAACTTATTTGAAGAAGAACCATACTAAGCACTATTTACATTTAAACTGATCTCAAACTGTAACCTTGGTGCAATATCAGGAGAACGGCTATGCTTTACATGGGAAGAAAACATGCTGATTTAAAGGGTCATCATGGTTCTAACAGCCATGTGTGGAAGAATTCCTAGCATTTAAAAGAGCTGAACAGAGACACAAAACATAGGCTTCTAATAGTATAAGGGAGCAGATTTGTTTTTTTTTTCTGTCATGTATATTTATGCAGTGTTATAGGTTGACACAGTATGGCTCACACTGGCTACCAGTAATCTTATAATAAACTCGTGACAAACGTAGAACAATTCATATTGAGTACACAGCGCAAAAATGCATAATCAGAGTTTAAGTGCAAATGATCAGAAGATCCAGAGATGTAGGCAGCTGATGTTATATGCAAAACTCAATTTTTTGAGAAGTTCAGCTAGGCCTCATCCCCTGCCAGCTCCCAATCCTTTCTATTGGTCAGTTAGGCTGCTTGTCATGCCAATAGGGTGGTCTGCGAGTTTGGAAGGGGTGACAGAAGCTTGACTGTTACAGTAGTGGTCCATTTGTCCATAACTTCAGCTGCTTGTATCTGCTGATCATTGTACTTGCATCTGTGTATGCGATTTTTATTCACCTGCTCATTTTATATAGTCTAGGTTTGTTACAAGTGTACTTTAAAGTAGGATGTACACATAGGATTCATGGTGTTTGGTTTAGAAGATCAGCTAATTTGCGTATTCATAGCTCTGTCAGACTGGGTTCTTTTGTGTTAATGCACTACAACGGGCAATAAGGATATGCAATGCCCAGTAACCCCCCATATTTACTATATAGGTAAAGCCTTACTTAAAGTTTCAGATAGAAGAGGAGTTACATTTTCTGTCATTTTATTTCTTCCTGTGACCCTGCTGGGGAGATATTTCCACCTCATCGTGTGCCCGTGATGCCCGTCAGGCCAGGTAAGCTCAGACAACAGGAAAACATTCTAACCTTTCTCAGTCTATTAAAAATTTGTTTGTGTCTAGTTGGAGAGATTTCCCATCACTTCCTGTCTTGACATAAGGGAGGGGTGATCTTTCCAATAGAAAAACAGGCAATAAAACCTGACAGAAGCTCTAACTCTGTTTTGAGCTCTCCAAAAGGAATTAAGAAGTTTTGGCTGGAGTTGGGCTTTAAAATCGCTCTCTGGTTGCTGTGGCTTTTGCTTATTGTGTTGCTTGTTTTGCTTTATCGCGAAAGCACATTTTTATACAGTAGGCATACCTGTTTAGAAGCAGATTCAATTAAAATTACACTACCCTTGTTTAGAACCTTCTAAAACCAGCGCCTCTGTATTTGCCAACAGAAGCATCCTTAGGTGTACAGCCTGCTTAAGAGCCATTCCCATTTAGTGACAACACATCCACATTTTAGATTGTTTGAGTTGATAGAAAATTAAGTATGTTTTCTTTGTTCATTTTAAACCTGTGGTTTTCATTCTGTGTGATTTAATCGTGCAATACTGTAGCAGGGAGGAATTGTGGTTCTTACACATTTATCTATAGTTCTTTTTCTTGCTGTGTTTATTTTCACTTTCATCTACCAATGTTTGATTTTCTGCTATGGGCCAGTTCTTCAAACTTTCATCTATGATGAAAGGTTCTAAATCAGAGTAACTGACTGGGTTTTTCCTCCGCTTTTGTACGTATATTTTCAAGATTGAATATACAGCTGTACATTGTAAATAGTGAATAAATGAATGTATTATAATGCTGTTTTGTGATGGCCTCAATGTTAATCCTAAAACTGCAGGAGAATAAATTTTATTTACTAAATTCAATTTGGTTTGGTTATTTATTTCCTGAACGTGTTTTACATTTAATCAGTTACAGTATATAGATTTTTCTCCCCTAAGGAAGTCTGAGCATTCTATATTTTGTGTAATATCTGTGTATTCACAGATAGGCACTCTAGGTTTATCATACATACTATTGCTGCAGATCTGCAATCATAAAATATAATGCAATTTTTGGCCATTTGTGATTTGTATTGTATGCATTTTATCCCCTATGAACTTGTATACTTGGGTAGGTGGGTGTGTTAAACAGCTATATACTCCGGAAACAGTGGTATATGATGTTTGGGGGGAGAGCAGCCAAGATCTGTATCCCTGTGATTGTGGATACAGACTGGACTGATGTAAGTACAGTGCCAGCAGATGTTCACCAAAGTTCCGACAAGGCAGCAGCAAACAGGTGCAGGACACCGATAGGTAATATCAGAAGATGGTACTAGAATCAGAAGACAATAGGCATGGTCAGATAAGCTGAAATTGTAATGACCTTTCAACCATTGCACAACGAAAGTCGCGCGAAGGTTGTAAGGTGTATGGCCAGCTTTAGTTTGACCTCTTCTAAACCCCAGCAGGGAAGGAGTACGATGGAAATTTTTTCTCGAACATAACACATTTCTAACAGAAAATGTGGTTTTAATTCAGGAAAATCTATTCATCCTAAATTCAGTATTAAAATTAAACAACATTTCCTATGACATTCTACAAGTTTCTGAAGGCATTATTGAATGCTTTGAGGAGATTTTTGTAGGTTTGTCTGAAAATCTATCAGTGTATGGCCAGTTTTAATCTTCTGCAGAGGGGACTACAGGAGGTAAAGCTAAACTCAGGAGTTACATTTCAAAAATGCATTCAAGTTCCCTAACTATTGACAAAAATGTATCTTATTTGTGCATCATTCAGGTGTAGATCTTGAAATCATCTTTGAATTGGTGCTGACACTGTCCTTCCTTCTGGAGGGTGGCTACTTTTGTTCCCCATGGTTCCTGTGTGTGTTGTAAGGTAGCCACCACTCCAAGCTTCTCCCAAGATGGACTCTAATCTCAATACAAATTAGTAAACTAAATGTGAGATTGTAGTCCATCACTGGAGCGGTGGCTAATTTACAACACACACAGGGACCATGGTGAACAAAAGTAGCCACCCTCCAGAAGGAAGAACAGTGTCAGCACCAATTCAGAGATGATTTGAGGCTCTACAGCTAAGTGATGCACAAATAAGATACATTTTTGCTAATAGTTAAGGTACTTAAGGTATTTATTTTTAAGATTTAACTCCCTAGTTTAGTGTCACTTTAACTGCATTTAAGATACACTGATAAATACATTCAATATTTTGCTAATATCTGCCCGGGGTTCAGCTTTAAAGTGTTCAGCTCCATTATGAAGGATTTTTGATATTTTTAGAAGGTTTCCTGAATTTTGAGATATTGCAACCCCCAACTAGATGAAAATCTCTGTATGTCTTTATACATCAAAGCTCAGGGACTTTCAGTGCGGCTGCACAGTTATGTGTAAGCTCGGTGTTACAGGGATATGTAACCTTAGATTTTTTTTACTTGATATTATTCTATGGGTAACGGCAATAAGAATTTGACTTCCACCGACTAAAGTACAGGAAGACCGTTTTGAGGAAGCTTTGATTAAACTTTGAAGCCATAATCCTTTCTGAATGCTGTCCAGAGAACATAATTTATTTGCTATAAGTCTTAATGTTTAAAATATATGTAATCTCATGCTTAGCAGCAGCCTTGAATTTGTTTTTTGGCTGTCAATTTCTTTAGGAGTAAAGCGAAAATGCTTATTTTTATTTCACTGCATAGAATCCAATGAAGAAGTAAGCTGATTGTACTTCATGGAAGTTCCCTGTTCTCTCTACTGTAGTGGCATATGAAAACCGCTGATATAGCTGAAATTTTCTTGGAAGCTGTAAAGAATAAAAGTTCAGCTAGGGGCTTATTTGTGCTGGTCACCTATGTAGACAGACATACTTTAAAGAATGCCTCTGCTTTACTCCCTTCACAGCA